GTCCGGTGTATCCTTCACGGCCCACCACATCCCATGATTATTTTGCTATATTACACTTTAAATGACACAATGTGATTTGGTACAACGTTTTTAGGCGAGAATTTAAGTGTGTTTCTTTCTGCACTCTCTGCTTCACGTTGTCATGGTTGCTAGGCAACATGAGTTACGCTGAGGTCAGGGTGGTGAAGGCTAGACCTGTCCGAATCCACAGCGTTTCTCTTCCGGTCATTATTTATTCGGGGTCCTTCGAAGGATGCAGACCCTGAATTCGGACACAGCTTTAATCTGCATCAGCACAGGAGTTCCTCTTTGAGTTCCCTCTTTGTTACTGTGACTTCAGGACACTGGGAGAAGAAGCTGTGGCTCACAGCACATCGTTCCCAGCACAACTCAAGATGGATGAATCAAACTTCACAGGATTCAGTTCTAACAGCTCTTCCGCTGGATTACCTCAGCACTCTTGGAATCAACGCGGTCTGTTCCCTGCAGTGGTATTAACTTTCTGCTATCTACTTGGAGTTCCTGGAAACATTGCTGTGATTATATTCAAGCCTAACTGGGAGCATCTGTCCAGAACGACCCAGAGTTTAATGATGAATCTGACCATTTCTGATCTAATGTGTCTGCTTACCCTTCCACTGTGGATTTACAACTTACTCCTTGGATGGACATTCGGCCTTGTAGCCTGCAAAGTTCTATCATACATTGTGTACTTTACAGTTTATGTTAGCCAAATGACTGTGACTGCGTTGAGCATCCAGCGCTACATTGTTGTTGTGCGTGAATGGAAGTGCGATATACAAAAAGGTGTGCTGGTGTTTCTGCTTTGGCTGTCAGCTTTTACTTTGTGCATCTATGTTTTGGTGACTGAAGAACTAACGAAAGAAGGACAATGGATCCGCTGCATACCCCGATATTCTTCTGAGGCACAGTGGCTTGCTGTGCTGTGCACAGAGATCTTGTTTGGACTTGCTTCATCTTCACTTGTCACATTATCATACATATCTCTCAACAAAAAGGTTAGGAGTTCAGCCTTTTTTAACAATCCACAGACAAGCAGGCTGCTTATTAGCATTATTTTAAGCAATTTTATTATGTTTTTTCCACTTCATGTGGTCAATATGCTGGCTGTGTTAGGGATAATTCTTAAAAACAAGGAGCTCCTGAAGTTTTGTGTAGACAGTTGGAGTGTAGTCAAGTCATTTACAATGGCCAGTAGTACCGTAAATCCACTCTTGTATGCTTTTATTTCTACTAAATTCTGTCCTTGTTGCACAAAGAACTCACCCAATACGGATGAGGGCACCTGACATTGCTACAATTGCAGAACTTTGATGACGATAGTGACAAATGTCACTTTTTCCAAAAAAAACAAAAAAAAAAAAACAACCTGAAATAAGTTTGTTTCTTTTCATTTAAACTGATGTCACATCTTCTACTATTTCTATTTCATTTTTTCTGCAATTGCATGAACCAGGAAGTTGATTTTGTCCCTTTGTTTATGTAAAACTTATCAAATTACACTTTATATAACTGTATCACTACATTTGGTTTACCAATGACGTTTTTACCCATTGACCTTTGCAAGTATTTTAATTTGTTTTCCTTATACGCCACTTTTTTCTATGCTCACACTGTTTAGACTGGTATTTGAATTTCACCTGTATCTATATTTACTGCTTGTTTTCTTTCATGACTTTTTCAAAATTCTGTCTAGAAAACATGGTGAAAATTTTAAATAAATCTTATGTTGAAATTTTTCTTCCTTTCAGATAAATAATTAACAATGCATACATTCATATTGATTTGGTTTATTTATTGTCCCAATTCAAATTAAATGCTTCTTATAAAACAGTAGAAGTTCTCTTGTAGGATACAGATAGGTAAAAGGTTTGCTATCTACATAAATCCAACTAAAAGCATCAAGTTCAGAACCTTGCAGCAATATCTCATGCCTAGCATGTGTGGAAATTAAAACTCCTTTTTAATAAGAAGACATCCTCAACAGTGTCAGTGTAGTGTGAGGATAGCTCACACAGGATGCTAATGTCTGCCTTCATCTCCCATCTTGCCCCTTCCTTTCTTCTGCCCCCTCCCTGCTGTAGTATTTGATGGGCTAGGCGACATAATGAAGCCCACTGTGACCCCTCAAGCAGGTGACGTTGACACCTCCATGTGGATTAGTAACATTTGTTTGGTATATGAAGGCTGTTTGCCCATTCCTTTTGGTTTTTGTTATAATGAATGGTATGGTCCACTCTCCCCGCCTGCATGTGAGTCCGAGTTAGATGCAATAAAAGACAAGTAACACATCCAAATACCTTTTGTTGTAAGTCACTTCTTGTTTGTTTGTTGTTGTTGTTGTTGTTGTTGTTGTTTTACAAAATGATAATGTCATTTTCCAAAAAGAAAAATATATATTAATCAAGGCACAGATAATCTAAAAGTTCAGAAAGACATGATACAAAATCCCCCAAAGAAAACAAT